GTAGGGGGATGAGAGGAAGAGGACTAAGGGAGACCCTCTGTGCATTTGTTACAGACCTGACCTACCACTCAGAGGTAGGGCTTTCACTGAGCCCCCGCTAATGCCCAGCCTGGGACTCAGTTCTGTGGGCATCCAGAAGATTTATACCACCCCTTAGGGTCCTTGTCTTCGGAGCATTTACAGTCCAGCTGGCAGGAATGGCCTGCTTGTTTGGAATAGGGGTGGAATAGGGGTGGAATAGGGGTGCAGTCAAGTGCTAAACCAGTGAGGTAACCGGATGGATGGTTTGGAAAGAAACTGATCAGTAGGCGTGCTGTGACTCACTAAAACAGTAAGTTTTAGGGCGCCTGGGTGGCTCAGTTGGTTAAGCGACTGCCTTCGGCTCAGGTCATGATCCTGGAGTCCCGGGATTGAGTCCCGGGATGGAGTCCCGGGATTGAGTCCCGGGATCGAGTCCCGCATCGGACTCCCTGCTCAGCAGGGAGTCTGCTTCTCCCTCTGACCCTCCTCCCTCTCATGCTCTCTGTCTCTCATTCTCTCTCTCTCAAATAAATAAATAAAATCTTTAAAAAAAAAAAAACAGTAAGTTTTAGCCAAAAAAACAGAAGACAAGTTTTAGCCAAAAAAATAGAAGACAAGAATGGGAATCAGAAATCTAACACCAACTCTGCTGCACGTTCTCAAATACCTTATAGTAAATGGCTTTCTTTCAGCCCCGACTCTGCTACCAGACCACTGGGCTTCCAAATCTGGCTCCACTACTTATGATTGATGTAACCATAGGCATTAAGTTATTTAACCTTTCTATGCTTCCTTTCTTATGTGCACTGTGGGCCTTATAACAGCACCTACCCCTGAGACCGTAAGGATTACAGGAGTTAGTACAAGAAAATTCCTTAGAACAGTGCCTGGCACTATGCATGTATAAATGTATTATTTTATTATTATGCCTCCTTCTAGTTCCCTATCTCCAATTGGGTCCAGGATTTATTAACCTCCTTTGAATGAACCAAGGTCTTGCTCTGATTTTCCTTTAAATAACCTATAAATTGCCATATCACACAAATGTTTTGTTAGTGCTGTGGGGTTTGGATTTCAATTAAAAATTCTCTGTCCCCAAGGACACAAATCCTGTTCTAATAACATTGAAGATTAAAGAGAGTTTGAAGCTAAAGTACAGTTGGTTTGTATAATTGAAAATAGCCTGAGAGAGTATGGATGCATTTTTTAAAAATCTAAGTGCATTGTCATTGAAAGGTTATTTTTTGTTTGGAAAAGAATAAAAAAAAAAATCATTGTCACACCATAGCAACCAGACTGGTAAGCGATACAGAACAGGCTGAACTGATAAAAATATCTGAAAATGCCCAGATTGATGAAATGTTCTAAAAATAAGTTTAACAAAATAGTGAACAAAATAAAATGGGCCTAATTTTTCATACATGCCCTTTCATGTTTTATTTTTTGAAAGCTAAAATATTCACTTTGAAAATCATTTTAACATTGCCATCTGGTAAAAAAAAAAAAAAAGGAAGAAGAAGAAGAAGTTAAAAGCCCTAGACTTTGGACAACAGAAAAAGGTATTTGTGGAACTAAGGAGTAAAACTTCAGCATTCTAAAGGAAAACAAATACATACATAGGCCAAAGTTGAGAGTTTATACTTTTGCATACTAAGTCTTCAAAGCAATAACTTTTAAAATACCCACATGCTTTCCAGTAAACTAATTTATTTTTCCCACTATTATTATTTATTTCTATTTTCAGGATTTTGAAAGCAGATGGACACTGTTGCTTTGCCAGCCTTAAGAGAAAACAGAATTTTCAATTATAAATTCTAACATTAGAGGAGTGAAACCCTATCCAACTCCAACAAGGAAATTAAGGGTCTAAAATAGGAGTGTTTCAGAAGAAGAATTGCCAGCATTTGTTAGACTAGATTTAGGAGGTAACTTACTTCAAGTCTGGAGTTGATCAAGGGCTCTTTGTGTTTCCAGAGTAGACCCACAACACTGAGAAATGAGCTGAGCTACTCCAAAAGATACTTGGGTATTTTTATATTTTTATGAGCGGGAAAGGCAAAGCAATGTTCTATCGTGACAAGGATATGTTGGGTAACACTTTACAAACCACATCTTCATTCATTCCATTCATTCAACAAGTATTAATTGAGTTGGACCGATAGGAGATGTGCAAAAGCCCTGTGCTAAGACCTAGAGATGTGAGAATGAGTAATGCACAACTCCTGTCTATAAGGAGTTTGGAATTTTGGGGAAGAAATTTGGACATGTAAGCAAACACATTATTTTGACACATTTATTATGCTATAAATATGTAAGATAATCTTAGGAATCCAAAAAGGAGAATGATTGATTCTCCTGAAAGAACCTAGGAAGGCTTCATACAGGAGTGATAATTTTGCTGACCTTTCAAGAGTGCTATATTTTATTGGTTTAGGGCGAGAGTATCGTTCCAGACCCAAGGCATGCTAGTAGGCAGGTCATGGAGACATGACATGAAGCATGACACCATGGCTGAAGTGAGGGGTCCAGGAGTGGGTTTTCAGGGGCTAAGAGATAGGGGCCAGGTTGCAGGGGTAGGCAAGCACCTCATTGTGTAGGGCTTTGTGTGACATGTGCAGGAATGTGGATCTTCTCCGATACAAAAAGAACCTCAGTTCAGGGGGGTTAAGCCAAGGAGTTGAATGCTCATACCTGTACAGATACAGGTGGAATTGAATCTAAGTGGAAAACAAGTAGTGAAGGCATTAAGGAGGCTACAACAGTAATTCAGTTGGCAGGTGAAGAGGGCAGGAAAGAAGGCACTGGAAATAGAGATATGGCGGGTGGGGCATTGGAATTGGGAGGATTTAACGGCCCCTCGTTTGCTCTGATGGAGATATAAGGGGGGTGTGGGTTCGGATATATTGAACTATCCAGACAATAGGGCAGAGTGCCATGACTTGTGTGTCATTTGACGCTCATCACCTAGGACAAAAACTATAGTAGTTTTCAATAAACATTTAATTAATAGGTGATGGATAAACAAATGAATGAAACCACACCTGAGGGACACCATCTGGCAAGCCACTGGCCATTCAGGCTAAACACATAGATTTGGTAAAGTGAGCAAGTAGGTGAGAAGCATGCCATGAATAAAACCCCAGGGAAATACCAGAATATAAGGTGGAGCAGAGAAGAGAGCAGAGGAGCCTGAAAATTAACAGGTTGAAAAATGAGAAAAAAAATTCTCTATCTTTAAGTCCCTCTGTGAATATACATTGTGCCTATAGAGTTGACTGATTCCTATTTTGTGCTTTTTATCTGCCTTGGAAGACGTCTCTAGTGACAAAGCATGGGCTTTGAGGCCCCAGAGAACTAGATTCAAATCTTATTACTGTCCCTTTCTAGCTGAGACTCTGAAAAAGTAACCTCTGAATATCAATTGCCTCATCTATAAGATAAAGGTAATAATAATGCCTACTGTATAGAGTTCTGTTGAAGATTAAAGCTAACACCGTATGTCAATGTATATAACTCATACTGAGGGTTCGATAATATTGGACCCTTCACCCTCTTAAAATACGATATATACAATATCGCCTTAGAGTTCCTGGATTTAACAGCCATGCCTTCAACTTTTTGTAAGCATCCCAGAATTCCCATGACCTGCTGTGGAAGTCGGTCTTTTAGCCAAGACACCAACTTGAATGCTGATGTTAGGAAGTGAATGTGTGCAAACCAATCACCCAGCCTTCAAATGCTCAGCATTCTTAGTGTTTTCGGCTTCTCCGGACATCTTTGTTAATGCTTGTCCAATACTATAACAGCATTTTAAAAATTGAGTATTTGCATATATTTGAGGCTGTAAAAATGGTTACTATAAAACAAAGAGGAAATAATTTTATAGATAGACCCTCTATGCCAAGTAGCACACTGCAAAATTGACATAGGTAATGTGCATTAAAATTGCTGGGAGGAAAGAATAGTCTATCCTTATTTAGATTTATTACTATTGTTCAATAATTTATGAATGACTGAACTTGAATCCCACTTACTTCACGGGTTCAATTTCCTTCTTGCTGAAGCACATTTTTTAGTAGTTCATTCAACAGATCTTAAGAGTGGCAAAATCTCTCTGTCTTTGCTTGTCTCAAAATGTCTTTATTTTGTCCTCAGCTTGAATGACAGATTAACTGGATACTGAGTTCCCATTTGATATTCACTTTCTGTCAGTGCTTTGAAGATGCTATTCTATTGTCACTGTCATTGATTGCCACTGATGAGATCTTTGCCAGTCTAATTGTTGTTCTTTTGTAAGCTCCTTTTTTCTTAGGTGGCTTTTAAGGTTTTCTTTTTCTCTTTGATATTCTGAAATTCCATTATGATGTGTCTAGTGTTTATTTATTATTAATTGCTATTTCACTTGCACAGAGTCTAGATTTTTATAGTTACAGGTTGGTTTCTCTGAAAATAGATACTGGGATGGAGTATGGAAAGCACCATGCTTAATGGGGTGCCAACACCGGACCTCTATTTTGGCAAGTACCATCATCATCATTGCCATCGTCAAACCAAGTTGTACTCTAGCCTCTCTCACTGTCAGCCCTGGTCGGCAGAGAGCCACCGTGGGATGTTTAGTGATGCTCACACTCCTCATTAGCACATCCCATGTAACTTTGGTAAATGGCATTTCATCTAGGTTTTTCTGTAGAACATAACCATCTGGTTATCCATCTAACCATACATAGAATACCTATTCCTGATTGCTTACTTCCTTGAGCCTTTTAATCCTTTCTTTCTTGACAATTCTGCCTTGGCACTGCCTACTTTGGCAATTCTGGCTTTTCAACTTCACTTAGCATGGGCTATAACTTTTTCCATGCCTCTAGGAGCCATCCTACTAGCAATTTCAAGCCATTTCTTGGGGGTCCTTGTCAGTGTTGATCCCATCGATTCTTTATCTCAGGAGAGAACTCCCAAGTAAATAAACTTACCTATCCAATTTTATGTTTTGGCCCTCTTGATCTGGTACCCTCAGAATCCAATCCCACACATGCTGTCTGGCTCCTGCCAGTATATGCTGGGTAGGTCTTGCAGCACCTTTGGGGTATGGTCCGGTTATTCTCTTACCAGGCCCAGCACATCACCAGATGGTTTAAGCTGTTCCTTAATGCCAATGATTGGCCTAGTATCCAAGAGGAGATATGGAGGCAGGTCCTGGGAAGAGAAGGAGGACATGTCACCTTGGGAGAAAGAGTCCTCAACACTAATTCCTGAGCACTGGGGAGTTGGACATGGAGAGTGGGATGCTTACTCTTATGGGGAAGATTGGCAACATCTGCAGGCTCAGAAGGTTGGAGAAGACTTGAGAAGTCAAAATCTTCAAGGGCATCTTCCTAGATGTCCCCATGTTGTGTGTCCAGGTACCAGGTTTTTCTCAACTTAGTGTAATAGACCTGGCCCTGTTGGACACTTGACCGTCTTTGAAGTCTAGCCATCATATTCTTAAGGTCTAGGCTTGGTCCTCATTTTTCCTTACCTTCCTGCTAGAGGAGATGAGAGCTTTTTTGTAAGGAACCAAACGAGAACCCCCTGGTTTTCCCACCTGGTTTTCCTGTAGCTCTATCTCATCCTTAGCTGCTCTTCATATCTCTGTAAAGCATCAGTGCTACTTAGCAAAAAATGGCCACTCCAAATAACTACCATTTTGTCTATGATCTTAAGTGCTTGAGACATCCCACCCATGAGAGCATCCTTTCCCATTGATATGGCCTCTCACTTCACCATTGGTGAGAGATTTAATGATATGCCACCTTGTGCCAGGGGCTATAGAAAACAAGAATAGGAGAGCAGGTTCTAATCCTTGCTCCAATTCTTGCTATGGTACATCTGAGACAGTCTGCTGACATTCCATCAGTAAGCATGGACTACTGACGTGTGGGCTTTTCCAAGAATCTAGAATTGGAATTATTTTTCTTTTTATCCTTAAATTCATTTACATTGAGCAGAACAATTTTAGCTTCCTGGAGTTTATATAAAGAGTTCAAGATAGTCTTATAATAATTCATACACACCATAACCTCTGCCAACAATAATCCCGTGTGCCTTCAAAATGAGGAAATTAGTGTTGGCGTGTGTTGTATTATAATCTGCACTGTGTATTGTAAATGGCTAAGTAAGCACTTATTAAGACACTTAGATGAATAAAAAGAAAAATATCTTTTTAAATGGGCAACATATGTAAGTCTCTTGACCTTAAACAACTTAAAAAAAAACCAACTCCGTTCCTAAATCATATCATATTGGCAAAGGGTGTGATTATTTAAGTTAAATTACCTATGAGACAAAGGTATGCTCTTCACCATAAGGCAGAACTTTCTAACAATGGCACAGGCAATGTAGCTCTCTGCTTTAACAAACAGTACTCTATAAACTCTACCTTCTACTCTGTGAAGGTAGAGAAAGCAGCTGCAAGGTGGCTTCAAGGACTTGAATAAAGAGCACACTTATGCAGCCGGTAGAAGTTGAGTGTATGGCAAATGATCCAGACCTCTCTCCGAGGGGAGATTTCAAGTAGGGTATTTTCAATTACCTACTGTCTGTTCAACCTTTGCAAGGAATTTAATTGGAACAGACAGAGTATTTAAGGGGAATAACTAATGATATGATAGATTAGTAATGATCAATAGGCAGAGAATCACTGCATTAGTTGAAGCATGGTACTTTCTGAGCATGGTATTTTCACTCCTGGGGGAACAAAATTCTAATTATAATTCTCCAGCATTCAACACTCTGGAGCTTCTAAAGACGTTTGCATTCTTTTAGAGAGAGAACAGAGTCTGCAGTTTTATAATTGTATATTAGCAAATGTTGACAGCACTGGAAATCAATAGCCTGATTGCTCTGCTCCTGTTGATTGGTATTAACATAAATAGCCCTTGTACTAGATTAACTCTCCAATTTGTCTGAAAGCATATTTTCCTCCTTCCTATAGTAATAGAGTCAAAACAATGGCCTGAGTATGTTGTATCAACATGAGGAATGTACTATAAAGACACTTTCTGGGTCTCCTTACATAAGGGAATATTGACTGTAATTATGAACTTTCAACACAGAAGATCCTGTGTTGCCCACTTAGTAAATGTGAAAGCCTAACATCCGTCCACCATTAGTCTGAAGAAGGATAGATTATAGGAGCATCATATATAACTTGAGGTTCCTTCTAGGAAAGATGTCATTTTCTCAGCCACTAAAATGTCACTGAGTTATAAATTATCACATTATATATAAATTAACCCATCTGCTCACACATTTTGACATAGTTTTCAAGACTACTGTTTGAGTATTTCTTAATGTATATATGTGGTGAGTAATGGAATAAGGATAAAAATTATTTTTTCTCATTTTTTCACAGATGTTCTTTATTATTTTCTTTTTAATAAGCCATTCCATGCAAGTACACTCTCAAGCCACAACCCACAGGTTAATTTCATGCCCAAACTTTTCAAACTTTCTAAGCTTGCCTCTATAATTTAAAGTCAGACTCTGAGTGGCTAAGTAAGGATGGAGTGAAAAGGAAAGAGAGAAAAGAGACATCAAGAAGAAGAAGGTGGGAGAAATAAAGGCAAACCATGGAATAGCCTTTGTAAGGCTAATATGTGGGGGAAAAGGAATGATAGGAAAATAGTAGAAAGGAAGAGAGAAGGAAGCACAGGCAAGAAGAACTGAACAAATTAAACTTTTCATTCTTGGCCTGGGGGTTACAAGTTCTCTGGTGTTTTGTCACTGTCCTTGGAAATGCTCATTGGTCAATCAGCTGTTTTCAGTTCTTCACCTGGTCTTTATCCTTCAGACACTGAATGTGGTAGTCATTATGGCCCCAGGAGAGAAATGAGTCTTCATTCAGAACTCTGTCCACAGAAGGGTAGTTTGACAAAAGCTTCTGAAATCCATTTACCTTACAGATAAGTAAGGGTGGAACCAGAGAGACAAACCAACATGAATTGAAATGCTGGAGAATATCAACTATGGAATCCAAGAGCCTGGAAATTGGAGCTGCCTCTGCCACCTACCAGCCGTGTGATCTTGACTGGGGAAGTCTCTTAGCCTCATACAACTTCTATATCTTAAGTTTGTAAAATGGCGCTGCAATTCCTACTTCAAAGGATAAAATGAACTATGTGATAGAAAATGCCTAGAATGATATTTGAATGCAGTGGGTATTCAACGAAAGGTGTCTGTGATTATGATCATCCATGCCTCCTGGCCCTCTGTCCACTGCTCTTTCCACCCTATGACTTAATTAAATGAGTGCTCAATTTGTAAAAAGAGTTCGCCACAGAATTACTTCAAGAGTTGTGTTCCTCCATTGTGTTTAATGGTCTGTTTATAGTCTACTGAGCTCTTGACAGAGATGTGAGGGAACATGAGGAAAGGAGAATGTCAAGTTGTTTGAGCCACCACCAACTCACTATTAATCTGGAAGTGAAACAGCCCTGAAAGTGTCACAAAGACATAGAGAAATATAATGTCATATGATTTATCGGGAATTCATTTAGTATGTAATGAGGTACATGTATGCATTAGTCTCGGAGGGTTGCCATCACAGATGACCACAAGCTGGGTGGCTTAAAACAACAGAACTTTGTGGACTCACAGCTCGGGAACCTACTCTGAAATCGAGGGCACACTCCCTTCAGAGGGTCTCATGGAGAATCCTTCCTTGCCTCTTCCTAGCTTCTGGTGCTTGCCAGCAATCCTTGGCTTTCCTTGACTTGGAGCCACATCACTTGATTTCTTCTGTCTTCCCCCTGGTTTTGTCTGTGTACCAGAATCTCCCTCTCCTTTCTTTTATAAACTCCTCAGTCATCGGATTTAGGGCTCACTTTATTCCAATATAACCTCATTATAACTTGATTACTTGTATAAAGGCCCTACTTCCAAATAAGGTCACATTCACATATTCTGGGGGTTGGGACTTGAGCATATCTTTTTTTTTTTAAAGATTTTATTTATTCATCATTTGAGAGAGCGAGAATGAGAGAGAGAGAGCACATGAGGGGGGAGGGTCAGAGGGAGAAGCAGACTCCCTGCTGAGCAGGGAGCCCGATGCGGGACTCGATCCCGGGACTCCAGGATCATGACCTGAGCCGAAGGCAGTCGCTTAACCAACTGAGCCACCCAGGCGCCCTTGAGCATATCTTTTAGGAGGACACAATTCAACCCACTAAAATGTATAAATTAAAATGTGCTTAGATCCAGGCCAATTTTGATGTGGGCTAGTGGAATCTGACTTGATACCTCATAGTTACAGTCAATCATAATAGCAAGATATATTAGGCATGTAGTAACATTAAAAATATTTTTAAAGCATTCATCTTATAAATATTTATTTTGGCCCTCAAAGCATTTACTGATCTAGCTCATCTCCATTACCCTGGGAGATACAGCAAAGACCATGCACCTGGGTGAGTGTCTTGGGTCTACTGCTTACTACAGACCTCATTAATTAATGTCTACAATTTATTAGACCCTTGTAGAACTTCACACATTATGCTAAGCATTTTACAAACATGATATTTAATTCTCACTTGAACCCCATGAGGAAGACAGTATTATTCCCACTTTATAAACTAGGACTCAGAAACTATTTAGAGAAGTTAATTATCTTGTCTAAGACCAAACAGCTAGTAAGTTCGGGAGCAGAGATTTGAGCCCTCGTCCATCAGACTGCAGTACCTGTGCATTTAACCATAATGCTCTTTTCACTTGAAGCAAAAGTTGTACTTAGCTCCTCTGAGATTTAATTTCCTCCCAAGCAATCTGTGATGGTTTGGCTCCTGATGTGCCTTCCTATAACACAGAGGCTGGAAAGCCTAAAACTACCTTCTATACATGCTCTTGCAGGTAGAGTGCTGAATGTCCGGCCCCATCATTGAGATGTCCTCCTGTCGATCTAGAAGGCCAAAGTGAAGCAGAAGCCATCTCCCTGCCACATGGGCTGCTTTTCTGCTGGCGAGCAAGGTTGTGGGGAGTGAGGCTTAGGGCAATAGTTTTCCAGTGCCCATTCCCCAGGTGCCTGAGGATTAAAGGGAAGCCTTAGCGAAGACGGTGGATGCCCTCTGCCTTCTGGCGGCCGGTCACCAGCTCTGTGAGTGTAGAGAGCAGGAACAGAAGGCAACTTCCTGCCCTTACTTTTTGATCCTTGGACTGCTGCT